GCAAAGCCCAAACCACACCCACTGCCGTGGAGTCCATTCTGACCCACAGCGCCCCTAGAGGACAGAGTGGAACTGCCCACAGGGTCTCCCAGGCTGTCAATCTTCACAGAAGCAGATTGCCACCCTCTTCTAGAGCAGCTGGTTGGCTGGAACTGCCCACCTTTCAGTTATCATCTGAGTCCTTAACTACCAAGTATAAGAGCTGAAGACAGGTTGCAAAACACTTGAAAGAAAAGCCACCAGCTTTGGGGTTGCTCAGGCTTCTTGCTCAGGCTGCTGCCACCAGTGCTTCAATAGGCTGCCAGTTGCCCAGGCAATCGTGTTGCCAGCCAATCTGCAGGCTGGCTAACAGCCTGCCCACTCAGTTCCCTGGGTAGCCAATCCAGGGCTGCAGAACTTCCCACTGAGGAAGCAGCTCCTGGAGAGGAGTCCTTCCCAGAGGCCGATGCGGATGCGCCCGCGGGGTGCAGGACCTGGCAGCCAGTGCGCTCACCTGGGACTCGCTTCCTGGGCAGGGCGGGGGGCACGCGCTTTCTGTCCTGTCACGTCTGTTGCCCCTGACCCCCACCCCTTTGTACCTTGGCTCTGGGTGGGACTTACACCTGTCCTTCAGCCATGGGCCCTGCACTGGTGCCGAGCCCTGGGAGTGCCAGGCCTGGGTCTCACCCGGAGGAATGGGCTCTCCAGTGACCTGGCCTGGAGTAGGAGGGCCTGGAACTCTGAGCTGCCTCACTTGAGAGAGGGGTCCATGTGGCCAGGCTGTATCTAGGTGGGGAGAGCTGTCACTTTTGACACCTAGGCCTGTGAGTGTGTGACACAGGCGACACGGGGTGGGCCATGGTGGCCTGGCACCTGCCTCCTCTCCCAGTCACCACATTTGCCTTCCCTTTGGGAAGCCACACTTACCCTACCCTCCCTCTTCTGGGACAGGATGGCATTCTGGAGGTGCTGGTGGCCTCTTGCTACCAGGAGGGGGGAGGAGCCTGCAGGGGCCTGGGGCAGCAGCACCCTCCTCTGAGATCCCGTCCCTGCCAGACACCGAGGCCACTCAGTTTCATAAGCCAACAAATACCCACTTCTGCCCATGCCAGCTTGAGCTAGGTGTCCATCACTGGCAAATGGAGGGGAGTGGTGGGCACCCTGTGGGACCATTGGGCCAGGGTGACGGTGGGGGTGCAGAGGGAGGGAGGCTGGGTGCACCTTCGGCCCTGGGTGTGGCGCCTGGCTCCCCTTTTCCCTGGAGGTGCTGGCAATTCCCAGGTACCCCCAGCGGCCCCGCACCTTGGGGCATGTGTCAAGGCCTTGCCCTGGAGGGGTGCAGAGAAGGAATGAAGGAGAGAGACAGCTGCTGGTGTCCTCGTCACGCGCACGGAAGCCCTCGTCGCGAAGCCACAGCACTGGATGAGCAGGGCCTTCCTGCCGCCAGCCCCATCTCGTTTTCGCCAGAAACGACGTCAGAGTTTAATGAATGTTTGCTGGAACTCCACCACCACTGGAGCCCTATTTCCTTAGAAGGGCAGTGAGAACCAGACCACTTCCAATTTCTTCCAGTAGAATTTTTCCCATGAGTATGAATTTACTTGAAACCCAAACACACTTGTTATTTGTAAAGGAGGACTGATACAGCAATTCTAAATATAAACCATGTTTCTTTAGCGAATCCTGCTTGGGGAAAAGGACCACAATGTTTTCTCTTGACCAAGAGAGCTCATGAGACAGCATCAAATGAAACTGTTATTGTTGTTGTTATGTGCCGTCGAGTCGCCCCGACTCATAGCGACCCCTCCTTGGGTTTCCGAGGCGGTATCACTATGGAAGTAGGATTGCCCAACCTTCCTTCCGAGGAGTGGCTGGTGGGTTTGAACCGCCAGCCGTCTGGTTAGCAGGCAAGTGTCTTAGCCACTATGCTACCAGAGCTCCCTCAAATGAAACTAAACTTTAAAACTGGTTCTTTTTTCTTTCACAAAACCTCAGTGGCGCTCCCCTCTAGTGCCCAGAACAGCAGCAAGCGAGACCCCCGGGCTGCCCGCCGTGCGCCGCAGAGGCCGGCCCTCTAAGGCACACCCACCACGCTCGGGGCCTCTGGACATGCCTAGCGAGGCTCCGACTTTTCCAGAACTAAGCTTTATGGGTTGTGACAGTAATGCCTCGCCACCTTGAGACGGCAGAAGGCCGCTCCGCAGGCCTGTCAGTTAAAGCATTAGAAACGAGGGCAGCTCGGGCGTGAAGCCCAGGCCCCAGCCCGGGTAACAACAGCTCCGCGCACACCCAAGACGCCCACCCGCGCACGCGTGTCTCCATCCGGGGGTGCAGCGCCTGCTGGCCGATGAGCGACAAACTGAGCTTGCTGGTCCAAGTTGTTTCCTATAAAGCAGCATTCCCGATACCAAGGCACACACAGCAGAGGTGGAGAGAGGGCGGCGCAGGGAAAGCCGGGCCACCCACTCAGCGACCAGCGCAGACAGAGTAGGACACCGCTAACAGGAGGCACCGAGCCGAGAGCCTTCACTTGTGTCTGTCCCTTTTTTCCCCTCAACACTCAAGTCCCAGCTCAGACTCAGTGACCAAAGTGGTTAGGTGCCCGGCTTGGACGCGCAGTGGCCGGAGTCCTTACCAAATCGCACTGCCATCAAGGTTTAGGCCGCAGCACGTGCTCTGAGCAATCGCTCCTCAGCCTGCGGCCCAACCTGGGAAAGGCACCGCTCCGCAGCCTCCCCGGTTAGCAGCACGTGCTGCCTGTCCTGACGGGCAGGACAGCCCTCTCGAGTTAGTGACCCACCTTTAATCACAAGGAAGCATGCTTGCTTTGTCCCAGTTGTTTTAATAGATGAGATGGTTAAGACCCCACGCCTGGGAGAAGCGGAGAGGACAGAACGTGATGCTGCCCCCCCCCCCCAGGCTCCCAGATGGAAGCGGCCCAGGCCCTGGTGGCAGCAGCAGACCCCGCTCAGGCAGGTGTGGCCTCTGACCCTGGCCCCTCTGGGCCCACCTTCTCTAGCCAACTGGGCGTAACCGGGAGGATGCCCTGCCTCTCGGTCTCCTTGTCCCTTGTCTCCTCGGTCAGGAGAGAGCGCTAACACTTGAGACGGCAGCCGTAACTCAGCCAGACTGAGGCATGTGTGATGTGTGAGGAGATCCAGGAAACAGATCACGCCTCCTGTGACCCAGGAGTCCCGGGCAGCCCAGTAGTTGAAGGAGGTGGCAGGGTTCGTTAACAGATGACCAAAAGCCACCTACACCAAGCATGAGAACAAAGTGATTCAACACGTATGTATTCAACAACAGGTTTGTCGGATTTTAGCAACATGCCATCTTTTCCATACGTGCAGTCAGTTAATGCAAAAGGGCGGCAGCAGTGGAACGCGAGGTCAGGCTGACGTCTGATTGGCACACGTGTACAACAGGACGTATAGTGTTGCATGGCTGTGAGCACCCGCCTGGCCTGAGAGGAAGGGCACCGGAAAGCCCCTGTGTGGAGGCTGTGTCGAAATAAGGCTAGCACCCAGGCTGTCCCCAGCTGCCCGCTTGTGTGGGGTTGGCGGCTTCGCCTGCTGCGAAGCTCAGGGTGCAGCTGTCGAGATGAGGCACAGGGGCGCCGCGGCCACCTGGGCACGTCCCCAGGGGACAGGGGCTGTGGTCGGTGCTATCTGAAACTCCCGACACGGATGGAGAGAGACGCTTCTGGTCTGTGGGGCCGGGACGGCGCCTCTGCTCCGGAGAAAGTGTCGCTGCTCTCCACATGAAGGGCTTCTCGGCTGCAGGGAACACGGGGCTGCAGTCACTGACACGCTGACGTGCACATGGAGTACTGACACGGGCATTGCGTGCCAGCATGGGCGTCGGGCTTTACCATGACTCCAAAGGCGATTCTGGGTTTTAGGGGTCAAGTCAGAGGAGGTCACAGGGCCGCACTTACAATACTGACTAGTATTTCCAGAGTGCTACAGTGGAGCTCCTCCCCAAGCCCTGTACCCAGAGGCTGGGTCCCCCTGGCCTGCCACACACTTGGGACCACTCCCATCGTGCCAGGCACAGTGTGTCTTCCAGCGGAGACTTCTGTCCCTCACCTCCAGGCTGCAGTATAACATTCACAAACCTTAAACGGACAACCCCACAGACTTTCCCAGTCACACCTGTGTCCCCACTGCTGAATCAAGGTGTGAACATGACCTGCCTGCAGCAGCCCCTGGGCCCAGATGGCCTCTCTCCTGCCTTCCCTCGCGGCGGCCCGTCTCCCCTGCAAATGGAGCCATCAATGCACTGGGCCCCGCACGCTCTCCGTGCCGGGCCGCTTCTGCTCACAGAGCTGCCGTGAGTCGTGTGTGCAGTGATGGTTCTTCCGTTCTCGCTCCCGCACAGTGTGTTCTATCACATGCTGTGCACCAGTGACGTAGCCACGGCAGTGCTGGGCAACATCGCCAAGATTCCCAGACTGGCTACTGGGAAGACGAACTGGGAGCTAACTCGGGCAGTGTTCTCACCACGAGGTATGTAGCTCTGAGTGACTGACTGCCCGCCTGACCGACCTCATCCCCTGTTCACTACGCCACTAAGCTGTCCACACTCCCCTCTCCAGCCTCACCAGCTGCACTAGGCTCAGCGGCAGCGTCCCCTCGATGCCTGCAAACCTCCTAACGAGCCTGGCTCTGCTTCGTCTCCTCCACCCGCTGCTCACCAGGCAAAGGGGCTCCCTCAATGGGAAGAGCAGGTGAGGCCGCCCTCCCGCTCCGTGCTCCAGGAGCCTCTCGCCACACTCAGCAGACTGAAAGGCGGCACAATTTTGAGAGACTGATGTGGGGAGAAGGTAAGGACAGCCCATGGCACCTGTGGGGTAACTGCCTCGTTACGGCATGAACCAGGGTGGTGTGAGGCCAAGCTGAATCATACCGGTCATGTGAAGCCTGAGCTATCTGGGGGGCGCCCCAGTAGATTCCAGTTGGTGTATGTGGCCTGAGGGCCGGGGGCAGGTATAGTGAGCACTCTGGAGCAGAGGGGGAGGAGGAAGTGAGTCCCCCAAAGATGAGGTAACTTGGGGAGGCTGTGGAGCATGAGCAAGGGCAGCCCAGCCCTGGTGTGGACCCCCATCTGAAAGGTGGGCAGAGGAAAGAGCCCTTTGAGACAGAGAAGGGCAGTCCAGGCAGCGGAAGGAGCTGTGGTGCTGAAAGCAACGTGAGCGTGCAGACCCTACGTCCACGGTCGGCGTCCCCCTAACCTCAGAGACGAGAAGAGCGGTGTGGCGGACGGGCAGGGGCGGGGGCTGGGAGGTGTGACTGGGGTGCTGAGACCTGAGGGCACTGGCATCTGAAAGACAAGAGCCAGAGAGCAGGAAGAGGCTGGGCAGGGGGGAGTGGTTCTCACGGATGGGAGACGGCACCCACGACAGGTCCTTGTAACCCATCTGCTGTCTACGCTCTCCTTGCATGTCTCACCAGACGCTCTGTTAGAAGTTAATCTACAGATCGTGTCAAAATTGGTCAGCAGGAACACTCCCCAGCACTGCTCCCACAGGGAACCGCGTGCTAGACCTAGAGGTGTCACTGGGCCTGCGTCCCCTTTACCTTCTCTTTTTCCCCAGAGCGAGCTGTCTCTGTCTCTCCTTTCCAATGTCATCGCGGACGGTGCTGAAATCGTCGTCATCTTCCTCCAGCAGATTCTATGTTCAAAAGAATCAACGAGCAAGTCAGATGCCATTTTGGCCTTCATTTAAGAGGTAAGTTTAAAAAGGATCTACACTGACAAAGGGTATACAACTTCACATAAACAACATCAACAGCTGACTCAAGCAAGCAGAACACATTCTAGTGCTTGACGGCAACAACGCAGCTGAGTGGTAGGAAGGACTTCATGACTTCCGCCATCAGCTGATAATGCTCACAATGGGATTGAGAGCCAGCCACCACTTGGGCTCTGGAGACCTGAGGGACAGAGTGCAGACACCCATCTGCCTTGGGCCGGCCTCTCACCACTGTGCTGCACGGAACGCAGCTGTGTGTCCTATCAAGTACATTCCCCCAGCTAACTGGGAGCTGCCCAGGGGCCCAGGGACTGCGTGTCTTTTGCTTGCTAGGAATCTCCCTAATGCTTCCAGTCCAGTCCTTTACAGATCCAGGATGCAAAGTAAGTTCTACTGAGTGACCAAGGTCCCCTCCTAGCCCCCCAATCCTTTGTCAGTCTCATACAGGATACATTTTACTCTAAGACTTGGTCTCTCCCCTCGGCTGTTCCCAGGCATGTCCTGGAAGTGTCCACCTGCGGAACACAGGCCAGGAGGGAGTGTGCGTGCTACACAAACACAGCTGAGGGCTTGCCGGATTCCAGTGAGGATCTGCAGGCTGCTGGCCACCCCTCAGAGAACCAGGAGAGTGAACTTTAGTTACATCTATTATAAACAGGCTCTCAACGGCACAGGTACTGACTGAAGAACTAACTGCAGGATGGCTTTGCTACTGCTCCACCCTGGGTTAAGAAAAATGTAACAGATACTATATTCTCTATGCCAATAAACCGTGCATGAAAAACATATATAAATTTCAATTCCAGTAAATCATGCATGATTTACTGCTGTTATGTGCTGTCGAATAGGCTCCAACTCACAGTGAGCCTATGTCCAACAGAACACTTCCAGGTACCTCGCCAGCCTCCCAATCCTTGCTGTACCTGAGCCCACTGTTGCAGCCACTGTGTCAATCCATCTCATTCAGGGCCTTCCCCTTTTCTGCTGACCCTCCACTTTACCAAGCATGACATCCTTCTCCAGGGAATGGTCCCTTCCGACATGACTAAAATACCTGAGATGAAGTCTGGCCATCCTCACTCCAAGAAGCATTAGAGCTGCACTTCCTCCAGGACAGATCTGTTCGTGCTGGCAGTCCGTGGTACTTCGAGTACTCGTCGCCAGCACCAAAACACCTTACTCATTGTCCAGCTTTCACATGCGTCTGAGGCGACTAAAAATACCCTGGCTTGGGTTAAACGCACTTTAATCTTCAAGGAGACACCTTTGCTCTTCAGCACTTTAAAGAGGTCTTTTCCAGGTTTACCCAGTGTATATGTCATCTAATTTCTTGACTGCTGCTTCCATTGGTGCTCATCATGGAGCCAATATGACGTCTCTGACAACTTCTATCTTTTCTTTATTTATCATGATGCTGCTTATAGGTCCAGTTGTGAGGATTTTCATCTTATGTTGAGGTATCATCCATACTGAAGACTGTAGTCTTTAATCTCCATCAGTAAGTGCTTCAAGTCACCTTCACTTTGACCAAGCAAGGTATGTCATCTGCATATTGCAGGTTGTTAATGAGTCTTCCTCCAATCCTGATGCTTCGTTCTTCATATAGTTCAGCTTCTTGGATTATTTGTTCAGCATGCAGATTAAGTATGGTGAAAGGATAGAACCCTATCACACTCCCTTCCTGATTATTAAACCATACAGTGTCCCCTTGTTCTGTTTGAATGACAGCCTCTTGGTCTAAGTACAAGTTCCTCATGAGCACAACAAAGTGTTCTGGAATTCCCAGTCTTCTCAATGTTATTCATAATTTGTTATAATCCACAGAGTCGAATGTTTTTGCAGAGTCAATGAAACACAAGTGAACACCTTTCTGGTATTCTCTGCTTTCACCTGAGATCCATCTGACGTCAGCAACGATATCCCTCGTTCCACGTCCTCTTCTGAATGTAGCCTGCATTTCTGTAAGTTCCCTGTCAATATACTGCTGCAACCATTTTTGAATTATCTTCAGCAAGATTTTACTTGCATGCGATATTGATACTGTTCAATAATTTTCACATTCTGTGGGATCACCTTTCTTTGGAATGGATACAAATATGAATCTCTTCCAGTCAGCTGGCCAGGTAGCTGTCTTCCAAATCTCTTGGCATAGCCAAGTGAGTGCCTACAGTGCAACATCTGATTGTCAAAACATCTCAATGGGTATCATCCCGTCAATTCCTGGAGCCTTGTTTTAAAACTCCATTGCCTTCAGTGCAGCTTCGACTTCTTTCAATACCATTGGTTTCTGATCATATGCCACCTCTGAAATGGATGAACATTGGCCAATTCTTTTTGGTACAGTGACACTTTGTATTCCTTCCCTCTTCTCGGGCTGTTTCCTGCCTTATTCAATATTTTTCTCATAGAATCCTTCAGTATTGCAACCCAAGGCTTGAATTTATCTTCAGTTCTTTCTGCTTGAGAAATGCTGAGCATATTCTTCCCTTTTGGTTTTCTAACACCAGGTCTTTGCACATTTCATTATAATATTCTGTCTATTCAAGCTGCTCTTTGAAATCTTCTCTTTAGCTCTTTTATCTTGTAATTTCTTCCATTTGCTTTAGCTATTCTCCATTCAAGAGCAAGTTTCAGAGTCTTTTCTGACATTCATTTGGTCTTTTCTTCCTGTGGTGGTGAAGTTTGTGTGTCAACCTGGCTGGGCCTGGTTGAGTGGCTGGGCAGCTGAATATAATTATTCCCCATGGTGAGATTGGTAATTAACTCCACTGTGGAATCTATTGGAGCAGCTGAGTAGCTGCTTTGGTTATGTGGTCTGCTTCCCGTATGTAAGAAACAGCTTTGGGAACAGTCTCTAGCTTATGGCACGCTTGAACCCTGCATGTAGCCGTGTCGTTGCTCAGCAGCCTGCCATGCTCTGCCGACTTAGGGACTTTCAATGGACTTGAATCAATGGCCTGCTGTGTGGTTTGGTAACATTGGGACTGTGCCTTTTTACTTGTCAACCTTGGGCTTGTCAGTCTCACCAGCCAACAGCTGTCTGAGTGAAGAGAAGCCTCTAGCTTCTGTGGGCCCGGAGCAGGAGGCAGAGCTGGACCCCAAGGTTGAGGAGCTTTCACCCAGCTCCTAGAGCCTGGCACTTTGAACCTGGACTTAAAGCCTCCAAACTGTAAGAGAATAAACTGTTTGTTCAAGCCATCCCATGTGTGGTATATTCCTGTCAAAGTGGCACTAGGGAACCAGGACAGTTCTTTTCCTGTCTTTTTAATGACCTTTCGCTTTCTTCATGTATGTTCTTGATGTGCCATCCCATAATCTGTCTGGTTTTCGATCACTGATGTTCAATACATCAAAACTATTCTGCAGATGGTCTCTAAATTCAGGTGGCACATAATCAAGGTCATAATCTGGCTTGTGTGGACTTGTTTTAATTGCTTTCGGCTTCACCTTTAACATGCATATGAGCAGTTGATGGTCTGTTCCAGTCAGCTCCTGTCCCTGTTTTGGCTGAAGATATTGAGCTTCTCTATTGCCTCTTTCCACAGATATAATTGGTCTGATTCCTGTGTATTCCATCTGGTGAAGTCTACACGTATAGATGCCATTTATATTGTTGAAAAAGGTATTTGTAATGAGTAAGTCATTGATCTTGCAAAATTCTATCCTGTGATCTTTGGCATAATTTCTATCACCAAAGCCATATTTTCAAACTACAGGTGATTCTTCTTTGTTTCCAACTTTTGCATTCACCAGTAATAATGAATACATCTTGATTGCATGTTTGGTCAATTTCAGACAGCAGAAGTTGGTTAAGATCTTCAATTTCCTTGTCTTTAGCTTTGCTGGTTGGTGCAAATTTGAAGAGTAGTATTAACTGATCTTCCTTGTAGGTGTATGGATACTGTCTTATCACTGATAGCATTGTACTTCAGCATAGATCTTGAAACTTTTTTTTTTTTTTGCGACAATGAATGCCATACCGTTCCTCTTCAATTTGTCATCCCCAGCATAGTAGACCATAAGGTTGTCTGATTGAAAATGGCCAAAACCAGTCCATTTCAGCTCACTAATGCCTAGGATACTGTTCTGGATACCTAGTGCCGTTCTGACAGGAATATACCACAAATGGGATGGCTTAAACAAACAGGAATTTTACAATTTGGAGGCTTTAAGTCCAAGTTCAAAGTGCCAAGCTCTAGGGGCTAGATGAAAACCCCTCAGCCTTGGGCTTCAGCTCTGCCTCCAGCTCCCAGCCCACTGAAGCTAGAGGCTTTTCCTCACTCAGACAGCTGCTGGCTGCTGAGGCTAAGAAGCCCAAGGTTGACAAAAAGGCACAGTCATGATGTTACCAAACTACATGGCAGGCCATTAATTCAAGTCCATTAGAAGTCCCAAGGTTGGCAGAGCATGGCAGGCTGTTGAACAATGACACGGTTACACGCAGGGTCCAAACATACCATAAGCTAGAGACTATCCCCAAGGCTTCTCTTTATACACAGGAAGCAGACCACATCCCAAAGGCAGCTACTCAGCTGCTTGTGGTAGATCCCACCATGGAGCTGATTGCCAGTCTCATCATGGGGAATAACTACCACCAGCTGCCCAGCCACTCAACCAGGCCCAGCCAAGTTGACACACAAACATAACTACCACAAATACCAACCTTTATACATTCCATGTTCAAACTATCAGTGGATGATTGCAGCCGTTTCTCCACATTTGACTCATGCCACGTCAGCAAACGGAGGTCCCGGAAGCTCCATCCACGTCTTTAAGGTCGACCCTACTGTGAGGAGGCAGCTCTTCCCCAGTCATGTTTTGTGTGCCTTCCAACCTGAGGGGCTCATCTTTTGGCACTCTATCAATGTTTCAGGGTTATTCATAAAGTTTCCCAATAATATATCAGACACGGTTTTATTGCTATTCATAAGTTTTTCACTGGCCAATACTTCGAGAAGTAGATGGCCTGTTCCTTCTTCACAGTCTTAGTCTGGAAGCTCTGCTGAAACCTGTCCACCATGGGAGATCCTGCTGGCATTTGAAATACTGGAGGCACAGCCTCCAGCCTCACAGCAACAGACAAGCCACCACAGTAAGACAGACGAATGGCGGCATCTTCATTTCTACTTATACAGGAATGTGACCTTCAGCAATGCCTAGCATTTTAGATGGTCTGACATTTTCTGAAACATACATGTTCTGTATGTTTCCTTTTGTTTGTTCATCACTCTGTGACTTGATCTCCCTCACCATTAAAGATGTGTATAGTCACATGAGAGTGGCAGCTCTTTCTTCCTTTTTACCTGCCATGTACTATGTTACTGTACCAACACCCCCTCCCCCACTGCCCATTTGATCTGCTGGCTTTCTAAGGGTTACTGGCGTTCCTTACGGTTTCTGCTACTGTAATAGCTTTGGCAAACAGTGCTGCATGCCCCCCATGACATAGGTTAGGTTTCCTAAGGGGTCTGCATAGAACTGGGATTAGTAGTTGCACAGGCTGACCTAAGAGATACTGTGGGTTCAGTCCTGGACCATAGCGATAAAGCAAATGTTGCAATAAAATGAATCACCATTTTTTGGTTTCCCAGTATACATAAAAGTTATGTTTATACTATAGTCTATTAAGTGTGCAATAGCATGATGAAAGAGTTTGAAATAGTGTGAGAATGACCAAAATGGGACAGAGAGACACAAAGTGAACATACACTGTTGGAGAAATGGCGCCAACAGTCTTGCTTGATGCAGGGTTGCCACATCCTTTAGTTTGTAAAAACCGCAGTATCTGAGAAGCGAAATATAGTGCAGTATAACTGGATGAGGTCTGCCTGCACCGTGTGGGTGACTTTATCTCCACTGCCCGTCGCCAAGCAGCTCTTCGAGTGGCTACACTGACTGACACCCTCGGCAGCGTGGGGAGTTCTGATCCTGCCACTAGAAACAGAAGTGCATTGTTTCTCCAGCAGTTCCCTGGTCCCAGGGAGCCGATCAGATGTCCAGTGCCTGCAGCCTCCTCAGCTCTCCTCTCCTGGGAACCGCTGGGTCAGAGCCTGTGCACACTGCTCCTCTCCTCGATCACTTTTTGTACTGACTTGATTTATATACTGATAGTGCTTTATATGTTCTGGGTAACAATCCTGTTAGCGATCGTGCTGCATATAGCATCGCCCTGTTTGTGATTTATCTTTCCTTTTTTCTGATTTGTGCTTAAGGAAAAAATCCGCTTAGCCTAAAATTGTATTTTCCTATTTAATTTCTTCTAATGGTTGAGAAATATTGCATTTCCGTCTTCAATCCAACTGCCACTGACTGTGTGGGACAAGGTGGACACTGGTTTTCTGGGGCATGAAGCTAGTAGAGATCTGGGGACCCTCTTCATAAAAGTGAAGCAAAGATTGTGGCTGTTTCTTTTCCATGTGGATGGCCAATCCTCTTGGCCCAGGACTGCAGACCCCATTTCTGATGCCTCTGCCATCACACGTGCCTCCTCTGGGCTCCAGATGCCAAACGCGCTGCCTGGGTCTCTCGCACCATGCCCTCTTCCGTTGCACTCTGTTCCATGCGGTTTCTTCTGTTTGGCTTTCCTCTGGAATCCCACCAACTTTAGAGACTGGGGAAGAAGCTGACAGGCCCTGTATCCCTGGAACTTTAACATCGCTCAGGCAGGTTTTGGTAATATCTCCAGAAAGGGCTGGATGCTCTTCTGTTGGCTGCCTGTACTGCTTCAGGCCCCTGGGAGTGGTCTGTATCTTGACCTTGTGAGCTCCCTGATCAATCCAATGGCTTACCTGTAGAGTCTTGTCAATCTTTATAGAAAAACTGCATGTAAGAGCAGTTTCATATTTTCCTTTTTAAATTTATCTTCTGTTCCATTTTTATTTTGTGGGGGTCTTGGTACGCTGGCTCGGTCATCTAGAGCAATGTTGAACAGAAGTGGTGACACAGGGAATCCTCATTTGGGGTCTGACATTCACGACCAGGCTCCAGGTTCATGAAGAAACCCCGGGCTGTAGGTATGACCTTTTTTCCTATGCTTTTCTGGATCTGCTGACTCAATTACAGGTTTTCTGCTTTATCTGGGAATACAACACGCTACAGAAATGGATTTCTGACATTCTGCCTTCCTTGGATAAATCTACTTGGTCATCACTCAGCAGTACTGATTAAAATGCACTGCTGGGCTTGTTTGCTGGTATTTTAGAATTTTGCACTTATAATCATATGAAATTGATCTAAAATGGTATTTTACATCTGGTGGCGCAGTACCTAAGGCACCTGACTGCTAACCAGAAAGTTGGTGGTTCAAACCCGCGAGCCACTCCTCAGAAGAATACTGGGCAATCTACTTCTGTAGAGATACCGCTAAGGATGGGTCATGATGAGTTGGAAACGACTCAACAGCAGTGAGCTTTTTTTTTTTTTTTGGTTTTACACAAAAGTTTTGGAACTGAGATTCCACTGTCTTCTTATAGTTAGCTGTGTGGATCACTCACTTTTTTCCATTCTCTGAGGCGATCTGTGTATTATAGGGATTATCTGTGCTTTGAAACTCTGACCACCAGCCTCTACAGAAACCCTCCCTAAGCTTGGCTCCTTGTCAGAGTGGTCAGTCCCTGCTGAACAATTCACCTTGACACCAACAGTGTCTCCATCTTTCAGGTAATAAGGTGCCCCTTGCAAATTATCCTGCTTTTTCTTCTTTTTCCTCTTGGCAATTTGCTGGCTCTGTGGAAAAAAATCAAACATCTTCAATAAGCAAAGCTCAATTTCAAATTTTTAGGAAAATTAATTCTCTACTACAGTGAAAACTTCACCAAGCATGCTTTCCTACACTGTCCACTCACCACCTCCCCATGTCAACGATGGCAGGAAAGCCCATGCTGAGAAAGCCCCACACCTTACCCAGCTCGAGAGGGGAACCCACTCAAACGTCTCGGGAAAGTATTTGGCAATCTCGGTTTTCTCCACGGGAAGGGAACAGAAGTCAGCCACTGCCTGCCGCAGGGAGGCCACGCTGCAGCCTCTGCTGGTGTCCCACACCATGTCCACGGGCGGAGCGTAGGCCCTCTGGCCAGGGAGGCGCATCTGGGTCCTGAGCACCAAATCCTGGGGGCTGCAACAGAACAGCTGCGTCACAGCTAACCCAGAGAAACGGGAACCTCACAGTAATGGGGTGGGTGGGTGCATGGGGCAACGAAGCTGCTGGTCTGACTTCCCTGGTTTTTGAAGGGAGATAGTCTCTAAATACTGGATGATATAGGAAACTTTTATTTTCAACTTCCATTTCCTTCAGCGTGAGGAAGGGCAGAAGTGGAGCCAGCTGACGGGTCTAGGCAGGGCTGTACTGAGGTATGTGAGAAAGCAAGGAAGTCACACCATGCTGAGGTTTCTGGCCACAGTGACACTCTGGGAAGCCAGCAGGACAAAGCCAGTCTGGGTAGATCATGACGCATTTAACTGTCGGTGCTCCAGACCTCAGCTGCTGCAGGGCAGCCAGGGAAGAGGAACAGTGGGTTTCGGGCTGAGAGACTAGACTAGAGGTATAGGGCAACAGGTATCAGCTGCACCTGTGGGAGCAAACACCACCTGTGTAGGAGATGAGCTGGCAGAAAAGGCCCTTAGGGAGGAGGGAGAAGGAAGAACCAGAAAGGTGGAAGGCAAGTTGGGTGTATATGTAACTCTAAGACATCATGTAAAAACCACAGATGGGTATAACGAGAAGGCAGAAAAGAGGAAAAACGAAAAGGACTCATTATCGTTAGGATAATGAGACAAGGAGCTGTTTTAAAATGTTCTATTTGTTACACTGGTACTTTTCCCCAGCGGACCATGCAGTAGCTGGAAAGGAATAGCTAGAGGGAACAGAGAACACAGGAGAGAGTGAGTCTAGCCAGGGAAGAGGCCAGACTGAAGGCAGAGGGCAGTCAACAGAGGGGTTTCTGAGGGACTGATGCTCTTGACAAGTGTGAAAGTGCTGCCCAGGGGCAAAGGGGCCAGCTGAGGGTGAGAGTGCTGGCTGGGGGCAAGGGTGCCAGGTAAGGGTGAGGGTGCCAGGTAAGGGTGAGGCTGCCAGCAGGGGTGAGGGTGCTGGCCAAGGGGTACGGATGCCGGCTGGAGTGAAGGGGTGCTGGGTCAGTGAAACAGCTGTGGTCCCTGGAGCTGAGCACAGTGGGCTAGAACCTGCAAAGGCCATCAGCACAGACGCTAAAGCTGCCCTGCAGGGGACAGTGCTGGGTACAGAGGAAGAGGAGGGATGAGGTGTCCTCCGTGATGAAAGCCAGTGAGTTCTGGAAACCGGCCCAGGACAGAAAAGAGGACGGGGTCTCAGTACGTGTACAGTGTGCTTTTCAGAAGGTCGCTGCTAACAACAAATGCGAGGTTGATGTCGCCATTAGGTAAAGAACACGTACAATGAGGGCAGGTGCTTTCCTAAGATCTCACAAGAAAAAGAGGCAAACACATGACACAGTTCACACACATACAAAATACAAATGGCTCCTAAGCCCTTGGAAACACCCACACTTCCTAGCTGTCAGACCAACGCCAACGAGAACAGGATAACCAAGTTCCTACTGTCAACCGAGCCAACACTCAACCATGAACACATTCAGTGCAGGTTTGAGGATGAAACAAGGTAAATACTCATCAACACTGCTTGTGGGAACATAAATTTGTACAACTTACCTGGAAAGGAATTTAACATTAAAAAAAAAAAATCCCTCCTCAGTGCCATCAGCTCAATTCGGACTCATAGCAACCCCCTTTGAGTTTCCAAGGCTGTAAATCTTTACAGAAGCAGACTGTCTCATCTCTTTTCCATGGAGTGGCTGGTGGGTTTGAACCCCTGACCTTTTTGTTAGCAGGCAAAGGCCTTAACCACTGTGCCACCAGAGCTCAATAACACATTTTAAGAGGTATCTAGAACTCCCCTTCCAGGAAACTAGCATGGGAAACATAACTCACACCAAGACCGTATTTTTTCAAACCAGCGGGTGGAGTGAAGGCTGGAGAAGGCTGAAGGAGTGCTACTGGATCTACAACAGGCAGACAGCAAGGATGCTTCTCCTCTCCCATCAGGAGAGGGGCTGGAATAGTTGATGATGTTGACAGAGAGCTTGCAGATGCTCCCTTATTCAGCAAACAAATCACTGAACATCCATGAACGAAGCACTAACGCTGCTGATTCTGTTTTTATGCTGATTTGGGATGGAGGGGACCCATGTTTTAGAGTACAGTGTTCCATGTGGCTTTCTTGGCTGTGGTCTTTATGACAGCAGATCATGAGGTCTGTTTCTTCTGTGGTGCCACTGGGTGGGTTCAAACCACCAAGCTTCTAGGAATGAGCTGAGTGCAAACTGTGTGCACCACTCACGGCCTCAGAAACAAGGCACCACTATGGGCACTGGGGGTGCAGCAGTGGACGAATGACCAGAGGGCTTGCTCTCAGGGAGCCTACATTCCAGGAGAGGAGACAGGCTGGCACATACCAACTTGCAAACATATAGCATGTCGAGTGATGTTAGGGTGAAAGGCTGAAAAGGCTGACAGCCTTGGAAACCCTGTAGAGGAGTTCTGCTCTGTCCTCTATGAGCACTGTGAGTTGGAATCAACTCCACGGCTGTAAGTTTGGTCTGGGCTTTGCTTCTGTAAAGAATGACAGCCTTGGAAACTCTGTAGGGCAGCCCTTCCCTGTCTTGTAGGGGTGCTGTGAGGCGGAACTGACTCCACAGCAGGGGATTTGGATTCGATCTGTTTAAAGGTGTCAGCCTACTTGGAAGTAGCGAAGACGTGAGACTGTAGGTTCAACTGTTAAGTTCACAGGGAGACTACGCACGGTGCAGAGATGGGTGTACACTGGCATGTCTTACCCCAAGCTCTCCTCCTTCTGAAGAGGCTCCAGACAGATCTCAGTTCTCCTGCCCAGTCTGCATTCCCTGGTGACACAAGAAACAAAACAATACTGAGGAATAACCAAACCAAACCAAACTCACTGCCATGAAGTTGATTCTAACTCACAGCAACCCCCTGTGGGTTTCCAAGGCAGTAAATCTTTATGGAAGTAGATTGCCTAGTCTTCCTTCCGTGAGTGGCTGGTGGGTTTGCATCATTTAATTTTTAAAAGGTTTTCTTTTCTTTTTGATCAATTAATCTTTCTTAAGCTTAAGATTATTTTCAGAGTATCTCCTAAGAACATTAAAAACTTTATTCACGGTCTCTGAGACATAGTAAAAATATTAAGCTACTTCTTTCCTTAACAAGGGAAACTGAAGCCATTCTGATGGCTAATGACAGGGTTATGCAAGTCACAAACATGGACTTACTACCGCCCCACCTTCTGTTACCATCTGCCTCAAACGAGGGCTGCTCATCAGTCACCTCATTCTCCACCCTGCAGCACGGCACAAGGGACAAGGCAAGCTCAGTGAGAAACCTACCTGAGCTGCCGCTGGTCGCTCCGTAAGAGCCTGCCTGGGCGTTTGCTTTCCACGGTCCAGGCTCGGAGGAAGGCTGGGGACGGAACGGCAAACTCTGAGAAAGAGGGCAAGGTCATGGCCTAGAAGAAGCAGCAGACATTTCTCCAATGATTCTAAGACGTATTCTACAAACACACAGCTTTAGAAAAAAAAAAACAAAGCAGCTCTGCACAATGACACCAGGGGGGAGCAGCTTGAGAAAGGGCAAAAGTCCATTAAACTCACAGAAGGTCTCTCTCAAGTGGAATGAGTCCTGAGGAATTCTGTGTTCCTCTGCTTTGGAGTCAGCCCGAGAGAAAGTGTGTTCTTTATTTCTAAGTCTGAGCCAAAAGCTCCCTCCTGACCATCAGGTCTGGCAAGAACAAACTTCTGAATGACTTCAGTTGTGTGTAACTCACCAGAGCAGAGCCACTTCAGTTGGAGGCAAAGCCCTTGGTCTTGTCCCTCGTCAGCCGGTGCCCCTCGGCTGCTGTGTGTCTGAAACAGCTCTGCCTCCGACTGCTGGGTCCACACTGCCATGCTCTAACTAGGACTGAGCCCTGTGACAGGCCTTAGTGCCGCAGGCAGCCATTCTGACCTAAGACAGGAATTTCCTATCTTTCGATGCCAGCATCTTCTGGGCACTTGGCTTTTTGAGGAAGGTTATCTCATACGCTGAGCTCACAGGAAAAGTTGTGGGTCTATGGTGATGTTTCTGTGCTTGCCCTTCGGGGGAAGGGGTAGTGAAAGCCGATGCAGCAAGGGTGGGCACTCGTCAAACGCCGGGAGAAGCATCTGGTGTGCCCTTCCAGATCAGTATGGCTCAAAAGGCACGTGGGCATTCAACCCGAAAACAGCCTTTCCAACTGACCACCTCTCCTACTCTGAGCACGTTAATACTCGAGAAAACAGCAGAAGATGCAGTTTAGCATCCTGACGTACAAGCTGACCCTCTGACCTCTTGGGAAACTGCTAACACAGCTTTAAACTAACAACAAGTAACACGTGGATCACTACGATACAAAAATAATGTAAACAAAGGACGAACACGATTGCACCACAGACATGTCAATAAACCACGTTCCCCTGAACAATCGAAGGTCGTGGTGATCACATCAGATGAAGCACATCAGGCCTGTGACAGTGGGGACAGAAGCCAGGGAGCAACTGGTGGAGTAAACTGGGAGTGAGCTGAGTGCTACGCAGGGCTCCTGTCGGGGACTCACTGCAAACAGGGCATAAAGCAAATACAACGCAGCGAGGGAAAGGAAACAGAAGAACATCAGCATCTCGCTGGAGGGTGCAGTACCACTGACACAGACGCGGGAAGTCTGACCTGCGACTTTAGGTCTGCCAGAGCAGCATCTTCTGAGATTTCCACGTCTCCCAAGTAGTGGAGGGAAGCGTCTGCGTGCGTATAAGAAGCAACACCTTCAAGGAGACAGAGCACGGTGGTGAGAAGAGCCTTATACATATTTATTTCCTGGTTCTGAAATACATGCCATGTTCTGACACCGCAAGACGAAGTCTACACCTGAGTCCCTGGATGCAGTGATATGGTAACAAAAAACAACATGCGCAGTGCCTCACAAGGGTAAAAAGCACTGTATGACAATCAGATGGTCTCATTATGATGAATGACTGGGTTCTCACTGCCAACCTTACGTGGGGTACATAGCTCTCTCAGTCGTCAACAGCAGAAGCAGGCAGTCTCCCGGTCTTGGTGAAACACTGGCTGTTGCACGTCTGCTCTCTTCTCACCTGGAGTGGACGCGGCTCTCCAGGCGCCATCCTGACAGGTGGCAGAGGAAGTCTGATCTTGATGACTCCTGCGGTGTCCTGAAGGGTCCCGAGGCTGGTACCACCAGATGGGTACCTTCAGGAAACCCTGAAGAATGGGGGCATTTCTAACTGCTGTGAGGTACCAGCAAGTGCGTTCCACTCCCACCTCCACAGTCCTCACAGCAAAATGCTCTTGGAGTTTTAAATTATTGTTTCCTTTAGACTCACTGACTGCTTAGACATCATACTTGGTTTAATGCATTGAAAATCAAAATTTTAAAAGGACCAAAATCAGACTCTGGACAACTGTGACTGAGATGCTCTCTTGGGTGAGAAGGACACTTATGTACTTTCAGTAACACAACTTTTTATACACTTTGAATTTTGTACCCTAAGCACTAAAAAAAAAAAATCTGCTGTCAAGTCAACTTTGACTTACAACCCCCCTACAAGACAGAGCAGAACTGCCCCAGAGGGTTTCCAAGGCCGTTATCTTTAAGAAAGCAGATTCTCACATTTTCTCCCACAGAGTAAGGTTGGTGAATTCAAACCACTGACCTTTTGGTTAGCAGCCAAGTGCTTAACCACTGTGCCACCAGGGCTCATTTACCATGAGTATTATGTACTTTAAAGATCATGGCACAAAATACAACAGAATTCTATGAAGTCATGGAATAAAAACATGTGACTATATATATAAGATGGGTCTGCATGTGCTGATAGGAGAGATGCTCAAGGGGCACTGAGGACCAGAAACCAGAGAGAGGCACAAAACAATGCACAGAGCATGACCCTGGGATGCAAACTTTACCAAGGAGCTGCACAGATTCACAGTCAGCATACAAACAAGCATCATTTTTTTTCTTGGACGTAACAAGAAAAAACAAGTTAATGGTGGGTGGCTCCCCTGGGAGAAACCAGTAGGAGTAACTTCTTTCCCATTTTAGAGCCTCCTGTGCTGTCTGAATTTTCTAATCATGAGCAAATGGTTGTCTGAGTGATGGGATTCTGGAATACTTTTATTTTCATCTTTACAGGTGTCCACATTAAAAAACACCTAAAAATAAGTATCGGTTTTAAGAAGTAGTAATACGTAGTGCTGCTTACGAAAGGGCACTAAAATGAACTCCCTCACAGACTGCAGACAGGAGCATAAATCTGATACAGTTTTTTTGAAAAACACTGCAATATACAGCCTCAAGTTTTTTAAAGGTTCCTACTTTTGATTTAGTAATTTCATATTTGGAAATCTACCTTAAAAAGTATCTATATTTAGAACTTTATAAAAACAAAAGATCAGAAACAAACTAAATTTCTAACAACAAGGGCAGAGGTAAATAAAGCTGTGGTAAATCATACCTTGGATACGGCTGATTTTGAATTTTATGATTACATTAAAATGTTAACTATAAAAAATGAAAAACTTTACATATGGTTGATTTCAATTTAGTTTAAAAATGTTTAGGAAGAAATACACAGGCATACCTTGGACATATTGTGGGTTTGGGTCCTTCCAGATCACCGCCATAAAGTGAACATCACAATAAAGTGAGTCCCACAAATTTTCTGGCTTATGAGTGCATATAAAAGCTATGCTTACACTGTACTGTAGTCTATGAGGGAGCCCTGGCAGCACAGTGCTTAAGCACTGAAAAGTGGCTGGTTCAAACCCACCAGCTGCTCTGCGAGAGAAAGGTCTGCTTCTGTAAAGATTACAGCCTTGGAAATCCTATGGGGCAATTCTATTCTGTCCTACAGGGAGGCTAAGAGTTGTATCAACTTGATGACAATGGGTGTTTTGGTTTTGTAGTCTATAAAGTGTGCAACAGCATTATGAAAAAGTTAGAAATAGTCTGAGAATGACCAAAACGTGATGCAGAGACATGAAGTGAGCACCTGCTATCGGAAAAATGGTGCTGAAAGATTTGCTCAGTGCAGGGTTGCCACGAACCTTTAATTTGTGAAAAACACACTATCTGTGAAGGTCGATAAAGTGATATGCAGTAAAACAAGGTCTGCCTGTGTGAAAATGTAAAGCCTAGTAGTTTGCCTGGTTGGTAGGATGTAGGCAAGCTTTCTATTTTTTTATAGTTGCACTTTTCCATTTTCCTACAATGAGAATATACCCCCTTTGTAATCAGAAAACAGCAACTGTTACTTACAAAATGTTTATTCAGAAGCAAATCTTACCGGGGGGGGAAGTGCCCCTTCCATGAGAACCAGAGTATCTCCGGAGCACAGCATGAGCTCCTTCAGGGTTGCATTCTGGGAATACAGAAATTCTTCTCGTCACTAAAGACTGCTGAAAGGAACACACAGACCACTGGATTTCTTCTTTTAAACCCTCTGTCCCTATCATGCTTTCCAAACACAAGTAAGTGACCAAATAATGTAGGTACTGAAGAGATCAGAAATAAGCTAAGACTATAAGAACAGTAGATCATCATGAATTAAACTGTGGAGCACAGACTAAGTATTACCAAAGATCAGAGGAAAGGGAGATGGGTGAAACAAAAATTGATGAGAATGATTCACGGAAGATGAAATTCTAGCCAGGCTTACAAAGATGGGTGGATCTGGAGAGATACAGGAGACAAGAGAAAAAGAAGGAATTTCTTATGAAGATAAAAAGTGACACCAAGGCTGAGAAGCATGGCTTGTTTTGGTGAAGAGCTGAGAGACTGGAATGATTAGAGTGGGAAGAACCAGTTGGAGAGAAGTAGGAAGAAAACCTGGATTGGAAAGATGGGGCCTAGATGGAAGAGACATGAAGCAGAAATGAAAGGGCTTCAGCTGCTATGAAACTGGAGCCCCTCCAGATTTCCAAGGGTTCAGAGATGACTCTTGCTGCTGCAGGTGCGACATAAAGACATGGGAAACACATAGGTTCAGGGAAGCCAGCTGTTTTAGTGATTTTTGAGCTAGGGGTCTGGCAGTGGGGATGGCCCGTGAAGATGGAAGAGCTGCAGGCCTACAAGGCAGACAGTCAAGGAAGGAGGAAAGGCAAGCAGGGCCAGTCGATAGTTTAGTCTGAAAGGAAGAGGATGAGAAGGGTAGACAACATAGCTGGGAAGCAAAGCCAGCTCTGAGCTCACTTTTAGATAGAGTGTGTGATTAGATTTGGGAAATAACAGAGAAGACAACGCTGAAACCACCTGAATCCATATACTCCTCTAATCTGTGTGTCCTGAGGACTCATGAATTCTTTTTACTACACAAGAAGCCTAACTCCTGGGGCCTCTCCTAATGACTTGCTGACTACAGAGTGTGTCCCTGTGGAAGGCCCAGTCTACCTGCTCAATCAACCTTCTATTGACATTCAGTGCCCTGCCTGGTACTGAACAGAATAGTAGGCAGACCGAGGAAAGGGGCAGCCGACCACAGCTATCCACACTTCCTCACCAAGCTTCACTGTGGGTGTGAGGCTGTGGTTTTGGACTAAGGCACTCGATGCTATTTGGACCAGCAAAGAGAAAACTCACTGGATTCCAATTGTTCTGTGGTAACAGTGGTTCTGAGGTGACCTCCTCAAGAGCTCAGCTACATCTGGGGCCCAAGTGTGACTGGCTGGTGAAATGAACTCTGCCATCACTAATTCACAGCAAAATGCTAAGATTAAAATATTCAGCTTTCAAAAACTCAGAGTGTATCTTTAGATTTTCTCATGAATCCCAGTCTTCTCTCCCCCTCCTCCCAGGGATGCCCCGTCTCCCTTGCAAAGGGCCTTGATCCCAGTCTTCTGTCCCCTCTCCCACGGATGCCCCCTCCCATTCAAAGGGCCTTGATCTGATGGGGCCCCAGGCCTGCTGGCTGAAGCCACCCTCCAGCTCCATGAGGAAACTACGTAAGAAAAAAAGCGAAAGCCCTGCTCAGAGATTTCTCTATCTTGAAAAAGCAACCAGAGCTTTCTTTAGAAGTTATTCACGAGTAGAGAAGGCACCCTGCTGAGAACACACATCAAGCTGGGTTTTAAGAACAAACCAAACCAAACCAAACCCACAGCCATCGAATCGTATAGCAATAATCTTACTTCTTCACATAAAGCCTCCCCAGCTTCATAGCACCAATCCATTTTTCGCAAATGCCACCTGTCTCCTATGAAGGAATAAAAATCAGCATTAAAAACTTCAGAATCCATTTTAAGAGCTGGTCAGGAACATGTGCCCCTGCAGGCCAGGACTGTGGCCCAGACCCGGGACGCTGGGCGGGAACCTCCTGGGCAGCACCTCATGCCTGGGTGCCGTGCCTCTCCTCCCGACGGTGCAGGCACAGGCTTCGGACGCCAGGAGCTGGGAGCACGGCAAAGCAACAGCACGAAAGCACCGTGGTGTCTTGTGACGTGGACAGCCGTGTCCCCACTCAGACAGCTCTTTTACACTCTCTGCCCTGTCTCATGGGGTCGCTATGAGTCAGGACTGACTCAGTGGCATGCAGTAAGTCTGTAGCACTGCCAGAAAAAGGCTGTCACGCTTGGTACAGAAGGGTCAGTGCGAACGTGGGAAACCCTCAAAACACAGACCGACGCAGCAGCCACAGCACGACCGTGAAGCCGGCAGGGGAACGGGGAGTACTTGGGCTGCTGTACACGAGGTCACTGTGAGTTAGAGCTGACTCCACGGCAACTAATAACAACAACAACACAAAAGGCACTGAAATCATGAAGCCATGAGATTTTCACTGAAGGACCTCAGTCACTCCAGTGGGCCCAAGTCTGACCTCTGCCGGTTCTTACCTAGGTTCTCTTCACGCAGAGCTAACCTGCTACTAGTTTCCTTGTTGCATGCAGACAAGAGCCAGAAAGTTCACTGCACACACACAGACATGCAAAGTGTACACTGACAACCTGAGAGGAGAACTAGCTTAGAAGCCACCATGGGCTTACAGCTAATGCATCACAGGCAAAGGAAGAGGGTGGGACCACGCCGTGAACAGCTGCTTACCTGGCAGGCCGGCTTTCTGCAGCATCATCTTCAAACACTGTAAAAGGCAGTAAGTTCCCTGTCAGTGTTCTGTTTCTGAGCTGCAGTGCTGCGAGAAACCTTTTCTGGGCCTGGGCCTACTGAAGTCTGATTTTATTTAATAATTCTCAAATTGATAGACAAACATGGTTAAGACACTGATACACTAATTAAGCTAGTGCTCCCTTCTGAGAGAAAAAGCAGTTCCTGTTCAGTTGACTCTGACTCCATGTGTTTCAGACTAGAACTGAATTCTACTATTTAATGACTGTGACCTCCCGGAAGTAGACTGCCAGGCCTCTCCTCCGGGGAAACTCTGAATGGATGTAAACCCTCGGCCTTTTAGTTAGTAGTCAAGCACTCAACCGTCTGCAACAGCCAGGGGCTCCTCCTAAGAGACAGGTGGGCCCAATTCTGGGACACACACCAGTTTCTGGGGTTTGCAGCCAGGACTGAGCTCCAAGGGTCATTTCTCTACTCCCAGCTCTTCCTCCTTCTGATGACCAACCATGTGTTCCTGACCAGAGAAAGCTCACAAGGCTGACTGTAGAGCTATGCATTAACTGCTGGCTCCTATCAAAGGAGAGCCCATGAAACACAAGTGATCATATAAAGTCCCCAGGAAAGAACTGGGATCTCATGGCCCCAGAGCAAATGAACACCGCTAAACTAAAGTTTAAATCAAACCTGTTGATGGAGAAAGCATTCCTAACAGACTCTGGGCAAAGAAGAAATCAAATTTAATTGATACCGCACTATAAGCAACCCATGGTGCCCGACAGCCACAGAGCAGACAGGGCCAGACTAAGGATGGGCCCACTGCACTGCCAGTAACAGAACAATGTGACCAACCAAGTACCCACTGACAGGATAGGAAATGAACCATGACATGTCTTAAAGCAAGTGAAACAGTAAAATATGTACTGGTCTGAAAAGCCCTTTAAAATACTTTAAGCGAAAACTTCAAGTTCCTATAATACAAGCAGTATGAGCTCATTTATGATGGAAAAGAAACCTTGCAAACAAAGCAAGTGTCTGTTTCCGTGGGCACACGCACTGCCATGTGTGCACAAGCACCGCCATGTGTGCACACACACTGCCACGTGGGGGCACATGCATGACAAGCTCTGATGGATGCAGGCTAGGCTGATGCGGACAAGATTACATAACCCAGTGACAACAGTGACTTCAATGAATGGGGTGGGATTCTTAAGTCCCTCTAAGTTTAAAAAAATGAGAGCAAGTCCATGATTCCTTGTATGATTGAAAGACTATAATGTAATTACAGACCGTTTAGAAAGTAACAACGAGAACACAATATATTAAAATAGGGATGGAACAGGAACTAGACAAGGATGCCCGCTATCACCGCTTCTATTCAACATTGTACTGGAAGTCCTAGCCAGGGCCATAAGGCAAGAAAGGGAAATCAAAGGCATCCATATTGGTAAGGAAGAAGTCAAACTATCCC